GCGTAGAATTAACTGCCATTACCTGAAGGGAGTTTTAATTTAATAGAAAAAGCTGATTTTGTGGGAGACGCGCTGACTGAAACGCCATCTAGCGGCAGTCAATCGCGGGCTTCGCGTCGGGGTGGCCGAGGTTTAAGAAAGGAGGTGGTTGGTGTGGGGTGGTGTGGCGTCAGTGTAGTAGTAGTCCGAACCCACGTTTCCTTCCACGACGCTCTGGCAGTCATGTATTTGTGGGAAATTTGCAGCCGCCGCAAGGAGATTTGCAGGCAGTGGGATGCGCAAGTTCACTTCTCTGCCCACGGCCACGGGATTCCCTCGTCGGGTTGGGGAAATTTGCAAACGGTGGGTGCCGAACGGACCCTTTCTAGCCCACGTCGGGAAATTTGCTGTCAATGAAGTCAGTAAATTCACTTGCGTGGGCAGGAAGGGATCCTTTCACAGCGCAAGTGGCATGCAAAGGCTACTTTCCATTCCCGTAGGTAAATTCCCAACCCATGTACTGCAAATCCCGAACCTCTGTACATGAAATTTCCCCACCCAGTAGCTAGTAAAATTACTAATATTTTTTACAGTGAAGGTATTGCGATTTATATTTTTTTTTCCTGAGATTCGCCAGGAACATCATTTATGATCCCTGGACCACTGTGGCCGAAAACAGAAACATTTTCGGCCGGAAACTGGTGGTGAAAAGGAAGTGGAACGTATCGCGATACACCGCTATACTCTCAAAAGTTACCAGAAACACTGGTCCATTGACTATGAATGGTTTTTCTGGTAACTTTTATTAGCAGAAAAGCGGTATATCTCAATACCTTTCACTTTCCTGGGATTGATCCAGACGCGGTGACGGGGAGATGGGCCGCTGCGACTGGGTTTATTTCGAGATAGACACGGGCGACCACCCGCCCGTCAAGGAGGCGGTGCGCCCGGTGCCTATACACCACCGGGGGGAAGTCCAGGAGATATTCCGCGACTACCTCAATCGCGGCGTCGTGTCGTTCAGCCAAAGTCCGTGGAACTCTCCCCTGGTGATCGTCGGCAAGAAGGACGGCAAGATCCGGTGCTGTATCGACCTGAGAAAGGTCAACCAGATCACCAAGGTCCCACAGTATCTCCTGCCCCGGACGGAGACCATCTTGGAGAGCATGCAAGGGAAAAAGTACGGCGCCATATTGGACTTGGTGTGGGGGTTCCACTCGATGGTGATCGCACCTGAGCACAGGCACAAGACCGCCTGTAGTGTGCCTGGTGTCGGTCACGTCGAATTCAACACCTTGTTGTTTGGGGCAGCCGG